TAAAAAATATACATCATGTTGAAAGAAGTTTTATTTGATATTTCTCTTCAAATTCTTTTGTGAATTCATATCCACACAATTTACATACTTTTTACCTGCTTCTCCATAAGCATCATGATCATTATTACACAATGGTCGAAAGATGTAAAACAATTCATCTATTTTCGCTGTGAGAAATCAAGAAGTTTGTTATATAATCTTTGTTGCTGTATCGCAGTTATAACTTTGCGTTAACAATGTAACGCCATAAATAGATGACTACATTTTTACTGCAAAAAAAAACTCATAAAAGGCTCAAGATACAGACAAAAAATGTAATAAACAATATGTCTATCCATTCTTCAAGAAAATGACCAAAAAATAATTGATGACATCATAAAGTTTAAAATTTACAACATGAGTTAATCTTTTTTACATTTTTACTTTTTTTCATATTCAAACTTTTGGAGTTGAGGAGGGAAAATGAGTTAAAAATGTAAAGTTATCAAAAATGGTTTTGAATGTGAATATTTTTCTTTTTTTGAGGAATTTGGACAACTGTATCTTGTTGACATTTCAATATTAGTCAAATGGAAGTTTAATTTGGATTAATTTCTGTTCAAGAAATGGATCTTCTATTCAACCAGATTGTAAAAAATTTGGAATCGACTGTTCTTTCTGCAGAAACATAGGCTAAGAGGCCGCTCACTTATTACGTTCGTATTTTATGGGTGAGGGGGGGTTTGAAAAATTGTAACAAAATGTAACATAGGGGGGGGGGGGGGGGGTGCAAGAAGTATGTAACGTTATAACTGTCGTCTGTCTTTTTAAAAAAAGTTCACATATGGATGTGGTGCATGAACGTTCAGGGGGGGGGGGTTGTGAGTTGTAACATATTGTAACAAGGAGGGGGGGGGGGTGAAAAAAAGTCGTTTTTTTGCGTAACGTAACAAGTGAACGGCCCATAAAGAAAATATAGGGTTTAATTCTGTAAAAAGCTATCATATCTTAATTTTGGAAGTTTATCAAGGAAAATTCCAGTTAAAATCTCGCCAATGAATTTCTGAATGATCTTTTGCTTTGGAAGAAACAAAATAACTTATAAAGCATTAAGAAAGGTTGGAATCTAGACTAAATCCTACAAAATTAAATTCTTGACTGAACAAAAATCACACAAAATCAATCAAAGAAGTGATCACAAATTGAATTTAGAATAAATAGACAAGAAATAAATTAAACAATTCATCACAAATCGACTAAAATGCTTCCTACAAAACATTATTTTAAAAATCAACTCATACAGCACAAAATTAAACTTTCTTTTCCTTAATTGAAACATAAAATATTTTCCCTTTATTTGTCTATCCATCCTAACCTCTTTTTCTACCCGACCTTTTGTTTTAAATCACACGACATTGTATAAAAATCAAAAACAACTCATCAAAAGTTTAAAAACGCTCCAGTTTCTCTCGCCTACAAGCTTTCCTCTCTTCTCTCACTGTTTTTCTTCATAAACATGCGGCATAAAATATTATTTATTTTTTATTATGATTTATTCATCAATTCAACGATTTTTACTTTCTTCCGTCTTTTTATTTATTTTCTAGGCATCATATTGTTCAGCATTCAGCATTGTAGCAGTGCAAAGGTGAGCTATGAAATTTAGTTTATGTCTGTTCATTCAATTATATTTGTTTCCTTACAAAATCACTTTTTATGATTTTATTCTCGATATTTGTAGATTTAAAATATTGTTAAAAAAATCAAATAAGGTTTGTTGAAAATTAATGTAAATCTAATGATAAAGAATCAATAATGATGAAGATTTGATGAGAAATTGGGTTTTTGGATGTTTATAGTAAATTGATTAATTCAGGAGGTTAAAAGGGTTTGAAGGGCATTGAAAAGTTCAAAGTTTTGACTTTAAGTGTTGGTTTCAAGTCTCGACAAGTCTGCAAATCGAAAAATCAGAAAAACACATTAAAATTAGCTTGAACACGAATATCTGGCTAGTCTGAAACGAAGCTAGAATAAAACTGAATACTTCTGCAGTTTTAAAGCATTTTTTAATTGTCATTCCTAATATTTGGTAATTAGGATTGAATCAAGAATAAAAATTCTAACCTAAATTATCAAGATTAGCAACATTGACAACGATCAAAATCACTTCTTAGGTTAATTCATACTTTAAAGGTCGTAAATGTTAAATTATTAAGTTTTATAGCAATTCCAATCAAAATCTCTAAATTTGAACACTTAATGGGTAAAAAAACGAGATTATTATCAACCTTAAAATGATATTTTTTGCATAATTGGACATACGATTTTACCAACTTAAAATTAGTTCCTGCCTCTAATCACAAACCTCCTTAAACTTAATCCCCCTTTTACATAACGAAATCTGAAAACTGCTTCACAAAAAAGCCACAAATCAAGCAATTCAAAGCTATAAGATATATTAAAAAATTTATAATATTCCATTATATTATGGGAAGTAAATATGCATTTAAAAGAAAGCACAATAATTTCATTAACTATTATTTTGATAAAGGGCCGACTACAAATGAATGTTTATTCAATTTCTATTTTCAATCCATTTGCGGATCCTCCTCTTAAAAACTATTTCATTATAATCACATCGACTTGATTAATATGTCTTGATATTAAATTTATACTTTTTCTACATTTTCAAATGATTTATAATTGAAAAGACTTACTATTTGCAAGCCATTAAGGATGCCATTAAAATGATGATATGGTGCGATATGTGATGTAAAGATTACATCCATATAAGCACATAAAAGTGAATGCTCATCGAAATGTCATATGTCATCCGGAAATATGCATAATATATGAAAAGGGATTGCCTTCATCATAAATTAATGCTACATTATGCATGCTTGTCAAAAATAGCTATAGAAGATATGAATGAATGAAAGTCTTTTAGCATCTTTTATGTACTTTTCATTTTCAATTCAATTTCTATCGTTTTTGAATATTCAATTATTATTACTTACTGACTTAGCTCATGTACTTACTACCTTTTGAGTTATTAACCTTTTTTGTAAGTCATTTAACTTAGGGATCATTTGTTGATGTTGTCCAAGATTCGCAAGAGTAGGTTGGAGTCTCTGATAAGCTTCGCAAGAGTAGGGAAGTTATCTGTCTGGTTTCTAAGGCTGCGTGGGATACATTAAGATAGAATTCTAAACTATAAACTGAAATTTGTGGAAGGTTCCTTTAGATAGACATAGAAATCAGCTTCTTGACTCTAGAATCATTGCTTAATCTTAGTGAATTAAGATTAACAATGTCTTTTGTATTCCAGACCTTTCTCATCTGTCTATGCTTCTTCCTGGAGCTAAGGAATAGTTTACTAGCCCCCACTTTGGGGCACATCTTTCATGAACGACCCCCATCAATAGAATACATAATACTATTTTTTTGCTACCTACCAAATCGCAGTGCAATTACATCATATTAATACTAGACATAATTAGCATAAGTATGATCTTCATAAATGCAATCGACGAGATATTAAAATACCCACATGGGGAGGGAGAAGAGAAATAAATTTGAATACAATGCGTTGTTATTTTTCTTTAAAAATATGAAAAAAAGAAGGTTGAAAATATTCTCTAAGTACATATTAGTGCTCTTACATTATTATTATTATTATTATGATGTCGATGATGATTTTTATCTCTATTGATGTGCACATACAAGGTACTTGTAGGTTCATAGCATGCTGAAAAATTTTCATTGTTAAAATAAAATTTGATTAATTAACTTCAAGACGTAACTTTAACTGATTTGTGTTATCTCCTCTTAATAGTCATTGCATTTTCTTTTGTTTTGGCTTGATTTGGGTGCTACCATGTGGATAAAATTGGTATTGAGTAAGTTCGGTATCTTAAGTTTGATCTGGTAAGCTGCTGGGATATGAAAATTATGTTATTTTAATAGTTTGCTGGCTTTTATATGCAGATTATTGTAAATCGGTTGTTTTCTTTGATTTTAGAGGTTTGTGATTTTAAAGATTTTGAGGAACTTACAAATGATGTGCGTTAAAAAATGGAATAGAACTTGGATCATCAATTGAGACTCTATGTAATTAATCGACAAACCTGAGAAGCTTTTATAGTACATTAGTGCCTTGATTTATTAATAACTTATTCTAGTGTTGTCCAAACAGTGTGCCGTAGAAAATCTTTGAAACTGACACGAGCCACATTCTGTGTGCTACTTCGGTCATAGCGAAGCCATATTCAAATCCAACAACTTCCAAAGATCAATTGCATGTCTCATGCTGCATTTATGACGTCTACATATACAAAATGTTAAAGCTAATTGTTTTCATGCACGAAATGTGCGGGTGTGTAAAAGCATATTTAAATTTATTACACTTCAAATCGAAGAAGAAGGAACAGTAAAAATTAAAATATCAGTAGCAATGTCGGCGGAAAGAAAGAGCATTAAATCTCGCGCTAGTCAAAAAGAAAAAAAATGAAAGATTATGAAGTGAAAAATGTGCGGAACATGCATAATGCCATTAAAGAAATGAGAAGTTGAATATATTTCATCACGAATGTAATCATAACTTCTTTCTCTCACATTTGATGATTGCCTTTCATACAGCGTATTTTTTTGAATGAAAATTGAAATGAAGAGATCATCGTGCTAAAGGTAAACTGTATATATGTGCATATGCCTGGTATGCAGGCAAATATGAAGCAATTGAGAAGAAGAAAATTTCTCTATTGTTTCAAAGTGTTTTTCCTCTGCTTACTTCTTCTTCTTAGGTAAACAGAGTAAAAAGAAAAGAATGCTGATGATTAATTCATTCGATTACTGGCAACTCCATTGTGCACCTCTTTCTCTTCTGTTTGTCTACTGCTATTACTCTTCATATTGTAATAATTTTCATCTTTTCAAATCTGTGCGATGGACAAATATAATCCACGGCAATTTGCTGCTTTAGCAGTGACGCTATGGCATATTATAACAAATTAACTCCAAAAATGGTAAATTGCTCTCAGACATCATCTGATTACTTACCGACATCTATCTATCCCGCCATTTAAATGTATAACAAACAATTGAATTTAATTGAGGAGTTGGAAAAGTTGCGAAATGAAGGCCCATGTAGACATTTAAAACTCCATTTGTTATGTTTGATATTGTGAAAGAACAAATTTGAGATGACTATCAAGCAATAAAAAGAATAGACAACAAAACATTAGTCGAGAATGGGAATTAGAAAGAAGAAATAGTGAAGAGTACAAATTATTTCCTTAATGTTTCAAGAGCAATTAATTCACTTCTGCTCGACTGGCTTAGATGCTGCCATACAATACATTGATGTGATGCCTCACGATGGGAGGCTCGTTTGTTCGATTTTGACAAGACAAAAAGAGACTCCTTTACAGAGATGAGATGAGAAAAGAATTAATGTAGCAGAAAATGTTTGTAATTGTAATTAAATGAGACCAATTACATTACTTGTACATCTATATGCTCCACATTTTCCATTCAAAATCACATTTTATTACCCCATCGACCTCGAAGTGAGAGAAATAATACCTTCGATGAATGTGAGACTTAATTTAAAATCAAATTGTGAAATAATTACTTGTTTTAATTGTAGTATTGCTTTCCTATATCCATTTTTTACATCATGACAATTCTTTTTTAATTTTTTTCTACATTTACTACTACTGGATGAGTAATTGATGACATGTACAGGTTTATGGTTCAATTACTTAATGGATTTATGAAAATTTTATGAGTTTAAGCTTTTAGTTTTTGCAAAACTTTTTAATTCTGAAGATTTGTTGAGTTTTGAGGAAATAATGTATTTTAATAGCTATAACCAGCATCAACCGAATCTCACAAAAATCTGAATTTATCATTTTAGAGATCAAAAACATCGCCCAAAGTTGTCGCTCAGCGAACAGGAGCAGCAAGATTTGAGGAGTATTTTGATGATGAGAATGCAAGTCATGAGACAAAGCTAAGGAAACGATTCACAAATGACCCAGACGTTCAGCCAACATACGGAAATGATCCGGAAATCTATCAAGGAGTTCTCGGTCGACCCGGCATTGACTTCCCCGTTATGCCACAAATTCCCAAGACTAATTTTGATTGCAGAAATTTCGGTAATGGTTATTTTGCAGATTTGGACACATCATGTCAGGTAAGTTGATTGTTTGGCATTTATCTAACATTATAATTGCATGCAAATGCCTCTATTTTTACTGTCTCGAAATAATAGGTTTTTCACATATGCGACGAAGGGCGTAAAATTTCATTTCTCTGTCCAAATGGCACAATTTTTAGACAAATTGACTTGGTGAGTATCGCATGATATGATGAGGAGAAGGCAAGAAAAAACAACAACGTGGATAATGATTTCAATAAAATTACCAATTTCATGCCATTTCCGATCAATGTATTACTTGCTAATGGATGTAAAAAAACACTCAATATCATTTTTCTTCTTCTAGATATGTGATTGGTGGTTTAAAGTTGATTGTAATGCGGCACCGGATCATTATGCTGAGAGCTCAGAGCAACTACAACGTGCACAAAGATTACGTCAGCAATCACAAAAATTGCGTCATGTTGTGCAAAGCGATTTAGTAGGGTTCGGTACATCCGGTGAAGTATTTTTCCGTAACGATGCTCGTGCTGCTGAATCAATTCAAAAGCCAACAGTACGCTTGCCACAAGGTCGTGCATTTCGAGCACCATCAAAGCTTAGCAAAAGAATGGATAATAATGATGGAACTGATGATGCAAATAAACAGAAAGAGAATTTAGATGCATCCGAAATTTTGTACAATCGAAGAAACAACAAAAATAAGGAGAAGGAAGGCAGGGAAATTCAGGAAACGGCAGAGACATCATCATTTGTTAATAACAAGAATAATATCAAGAAAAATGAGAAGAATGGAAATGGTTATGAATATCCAGCACCAGAACAAAAAGGCTATGACTATCCACCACCAACTGGATATTCTTACTTACCACCACAACAAGGTTACAGCTATCCAAAAGGTCAACAAAATGGAAGACAAGAAAATAATAAGAAACCATTCCTTCAAGAACCACAACCATTTGCCATAAGAGTAGCTGAACCGGAATCGGAACTTTTTGCAACCACTATAGCTACCTTCGAGACCACATCAACAAGAAAACCAGGAGTTGGTAAAAGTTTAGATCAAATTATCACAACAACGTCGACATCACGAAAACCCCAACAAGCAAAGTCAACAGCATCTTCATCATCAACGACATCACGAAGAGGAAGTACAACGTATGCGTCAAGTCTTAAGGCAGTCTCTGAAAAAACTGAATCCGTGAGAAGTAGAGTGCAAGCAGTAAATTCAGTAGTAAATAACAATAATAATAATCTTAAATCAACAACCCCGGGTTATAATTCCCAGAAAATTAATACTTATACAACAGCACGCAAACCGAATGTTAAAACAAAAGATACACCATTTTACACGCCAACAATACCGACTGTTCAAACTACAACATCTAAAATTGTAACTACAGAAAATCCACCGACAACAGTCACAACAACACCTGAACCAGAAACTTCGACAAAACCCACAACTTCTGAGATTGTTAAGCATGCATTAGAAATGATGGAATCATTGAAGGATTTGGATATGGAAGATGTAATACCAACAGAAGCTGAACGATACATGGGACAAAGATTAGGTTTTGAAGTTCCACCATCATCTGGTCCAAATGCATTGCATTCACTAGCTTTATACTTTGCCAATACTGATGTCAATAACACAAAGAGAATGACTAAGGAACAAGCCGCACAACTTAATGGAATCAGTTCTATATTTTTGAGCAATAAGACACAAACAAAGTATGAGTCACTGTTCCCAAATGAAAGAAAATCAACAGAAGCACCAACTAATTTGCCATTAACAACTTCAACTGCAAGATTCTCACAAGATATTGATAATGATTTAGAAGGACAGCATTCAAGACATCCAATTTTATCAGCAGCTGGAACTCCACAACTTCGAGAAATTGCCCAAGTCTTTACACACGCATTGTCAGCATACCTTCAAGATCCAGAACAATTTAGAAAGATTTTATCTGAAATCAGACCAACGGAACCGCCAAATGTAGAATTTAATGAGATTCCAAGATTTCAAGGCGAGAAAGAATTTGTTAGACAGGAATCAGCTTACAATCATCCAAGACAAACAGCAACAACTGGAAGAACAGAAGATTTAGAAATTTTTGACTATTCAGACGTTACAGTGTCACCAAAAGTATTAGAGGAAGAGACAACCACAGAGAGCAATGAAATTCTTATTAGCACTGAATCAAGCTTCATCACTACAACTTCATATCCTGAAACACTTCCACCAGCATCATCAAATTACGCTGATAAGACCCCAGCTTCAAGATTAGTCAGCGAGAATCTCGAGAAAAATGCAAACTCAAGAACAGCCAAGCAATTTGATGACATTTTAAGCCTTCCAGCTGGTGAAATCAACAGAAATCTTGATGGTAATATCAAATATTCACTTGACGACAGCAAAGAAAACGATGAAACTAGCTACTTCCCAGAAGATCGAGGAAACAAGAGTAAACTTGCACCTTACGGATTTGGTGTTAAACCAGAAAACAGCACACCAATTAATGACCCATTCCCAACTTCATTGTCTGATATACAAGCGGTTCCATTGCGATGGGGTGACGAAATCACAACCACAATCGATCCAACAGTTGAATTGAATGAATATCCAACAATCTATCCAGAATTATTACCGCCATATGACATCAATGGAACAGAAATCTTAAACACACCAAGCAACGGTCTACAATTGCCAAATGAAGAAACTGATGAGCACTTGCAACATGCACAAAGTCAGTCATTCGTGTCGAGTAGAAATAACAATATTTATTCTGATGAAAAGAAAAAATCGAAGACGTACAATGATTATTTGAGCTACAATGAAGAATTCCTAATTGGAACTACAAACTATGGTGAGAGACTCGCAACTACAACGGAAATTCCACAAACAACAATCCGTGGACATTTTGTTACCAAAACTGTGCCAAAAACTACAACAGAAGTTTCTGAAATCTCTACGACTGACTATCCAACGACAACAAATTCATATGCTGAAACATTGAAGACAACATTACCGGATAATGGAATCATTAATACAGACTCAAAAACAACATTATCCTACTCTGTGTTTTTAGATCCATTAACAATTAATGACGGTCTGATGGAATCGGATGAAGACTCAATAACACCATCGCCAAATACTTACCTTCCCAGAAATGAGCTTCTCACAAGTACAGAGGAAATAGATCAAAACTCATTTGCAGTCACGGCATCATCGACATCGACCACACTTAATCAACGACGCGGAAAATCTTCAATTGAAACAACGCCACTTAATATACGTTTTAATGATGATGAGACTAATATAATAGAGCCAATGCAGAAGCGTGCAAATGAGATGTTTGGTAATTTAAATGAGACACAAGTGAGTCACTTGATGAATGTAATGAAGAAAGCTGATGAAAATAGGACAGTAAGACGATTGATTTTGTTGTTGATACAAACTTGTGATGGCGATGATCATAATAAGACACTGGAAGCATCTAGAACTGCTTTATTGAATGCATTAATTGGAATGGATAATCCACAAGATAGAAGTGAAATTAGAATAATTAATACAAGAAGAGAAAAGAGCTTAAGAACGACTACACTTGCACCAATCCCAATAACTACATACAGAAGTCCAAATCATGAGAAATACACAAGTTCCGAATCTGTAAGTAAGGAATTTGAGGAATTAGAAGCTACATCGTTGCCATTAGAACAAACAACTTATTTTATACCACAATCAAGTGTCAATGAATACACAACTTTAGATTATCATTCTCAAACAACGGAACAAGAGATTCCAACAACCACAGAATTGCCAACAACTACAACAATAGTAACAACATTACCCACAACAACAAAACAGCCAATACTTGACAATAATAACAGATTAACAGACTCAAGTCCTAGATTTAGACAAAAAGTTTCAAATTCTAGAGGAAATACAGAAAAAGCTAGATTTCAAAAGAGTTTAGGATCTAATAGTGAATATCAAAGTGAGCCATCAAATGCAGTTGAGCATAAGAAGGCTGATGCGCGTGCTTTAGAGCTTCTTAGGTCACTTTATTCACTCGCATCACGTTGGGGTAAAAAGTAAAAGAAAAATGGATGACGAATGATATTAAAAATGATTAACCAAGAGCCATATGCATCACAATTTTATTTTTGTTATGTGATTATTGAGAATTTATGCTGATTGAAACTGTATTATCAAGATATTTTACTTATCTTTATTAGTTCTTTCTTTTTAGAATTGATTGTTGCTTTTATGTGTGTTGATGGAGTTGGAATCTGTTGATTTTGATGAACTTACAATATTAAAAGTTTTGAGATATAAGAAAACTATCAAATTGTTTTGATTTTTTGGCGGGAAAACTTTAATTGAACTTTTTAAAATTTGTTAAATTTTAAAGATATATTTATTTTGAATACTAGTAAAAAATCAACAGGTTACAATTTTCTTGTGAACGTTATTGCAAAAAAGATCACACACGTGACATAATTAATTATTTCATCCCCTTTATTATGTAAATAGGTTTATCAAATCATTATCCCCATTTTATAATTTACTAATTCTTAGCAGAACAATCTCTTGATTTATGCCAGAACTTTTAAAAAATATTTTATTTCTTAGCTTTTAAATGTTGCTTCTTTTTTGAGATTTTAAATTTTCTACTATTTTAGTCATTTCATTGATATTTGAAATCTTCATTCATTTATTTTCATTCCAACATTTTTAATCCCTATTATCCAATTCAAGAAAATCATGAAAAAAAAAACATTTATAGCAATTAAGAATTTACATTTAATTTTCATTAAATAAGTCTGACATTATTTTTCTACTTACATTATTACTACATATTATGATAGTTATTTAATGCTGATGACATAAAATTTCATATTCTTGTGTATAAAGCTTCCAACTATATTTTGTTTTATGAAAAATTTTAATTAAAATGCTCAAGAATAAAATTAATAATAAAAAAACGATTGAAAAGTTTTTTTTTTTTAATTTTAAGTTTTACAGGAACTGTTCTAGATTGTTCTAAAGATTGTGGACAACTACGAAATTTGACTTGTCATTCAATTAGGTTAATCGAAAATTTTGTACGTTAATGAAGAGAACTCTAAATCAATATAAAGCTACATTAAAACTTAATCAAAATATCTTCTTCAAGCCTCTGTTTCACCTATTTCTGCATTTATAGGAGCAACCTTAATGTTTAATCTCCTTATTCTCTGTTCAAACTTCTTAGGAACCAAATATCCACCTTTTAACTTGCCTTCGGGAAATTTCGCAAGTTTCATGATTTCCCGCTTCTTATTCATTATGACTTTTGATACATCCTCTCTTGAGCTTAACATATTATAGGATCTCTGCTCTTTCTTTGAGTATTTATCTGCCCATTTATGCAAGTTTGTTATCGTCCGACTGATTTGCAGTGGAGCAACTTTTGATCTTTTTGATTTTATGATTTTAACATGATGATATATAATCTCAGCAACAAATTCCAACAGCGCTACTATTGATCCAACTAGAAGAACAACAGCTGGAATTGCCATATCTCTAAACTCAACAAATTTTCTCTCCTCGTTTACCTCGTTTTTGATTACATGACTGAAGTCTCCTGACAATCGATAAGTTTCCTTTGTCCAATAGCTTCTTATTCCAGATTCTAATGTTGCCGTGACCAAGCTTGAAAATTCATCAATGTACATGAATCCATTTTTCGCAGTGTAAAACTGATAAGATTTTGTCATTATCAAGACATCATACAATCGATAATCATTGCGATAGTTTCCAGCTGACATCACAAAATTTTCAGCAAATCTACATGTCACCATGTATACCAAGTTTATGTCGATATTATTTGGTAGCTCAAGTGAATAAGACGAACTTAAATCAATGTGGTTAAGAATCAAATCCTTCTTAACAGTTGGTATTTTTAAAAGATGTGCTGCTTGGTCATCGAAAAATGAATGAAATATTGTGTCGGTACTATTTAATTCTTCTACATTCCTTGCCGATCTGACTGTTGTATCTGTCATCATAAATGATAAAATTGCGCTTTCATACAGATTAGCCATAAAGAAGGAAGCAAAGATGAATGAGAAGATGAGTAATTTTTCCTTGAGACTCATTCGATTCAAGTCATAAGCACTGTTGAAGAATGCTAATCTAACTACTGCATACAGCATCTGCAATATTGATAATCTTTGCTCTGAATACAGCGAAATGAGCTTCCATGTGATGGATACTAGGAACGTAGATATGATCGCTAAGACTACGGTAGGTCTATCCATTCCTGAAGAGAAGTTATCATAATTGCTGACATGAATATTTCGTGGTACTAATAAACACACACCATCAAATTCATAAAGCCACACTGTTTCAAAATTCGTTGTCAAAAAATTATATTGTGGACATAAGCAAATGTCAGCAGGACCAGACATATATGAAATGAGCATAGGCAAACTTGGATTTCTATCTCCAGAATGAACGTTAATGTAGGACGTGTTGAGCTTGGTGACAAATTCATCTATAAAATATCTTTCAACTCCTAATACTTCATTATTTTTGATGTATGAAGTTGGAAAGTTATCAAGGGCTATGATCTTTATTAAAAGTCTGTTATCCTTGCTTATTGAATCCTTGATTGTCATGAATTTCTCACTTTTGCTGTGACTTTCAATTGGCATTAATGAAATACGATCTTTATCCGTGAACGCAGTGTAATAAATATAAAATAATTCGTGATCGATTTCTAATACAACATAGACATTTAAATATCCATTGTAATGCATTTGTGACCATAACGACAGTGCGATTTGCTTTTTGTTGTTCCAATTCCTGACGATAATGATGAACTTTGTATGTCTGCTGATAAAAACATATCCAATTGCTCGTTCTACGATTTGTTATTATTTTACAGACTCTGGAGTTGTTAGAATTATAACAAAATCTGCATATAAATTGGACCTTAAATAAGGTAACGACATGCTTGTTATTGTTATTTTTTCATTCGACAGTTTGGTCAATTTTGACTGAAGACCTTCATATGCTTGATTCCATTTTTGGCTATTTAGAAGCAGAATTATCACATCTAATTTATTATTTCTGTCCACAGTTTGGCTATTGCTCATTACTGTTACCAAGTAGCCACTTATATAATCCAATTCATCGTGAGTTTCGTCAGTTCGTAACTTTAACGCAGTTTCTTTAGTACTTGTCATGCTTTCATTTTGAATTAATGAAATCGAGACACAGGAATAATAAAGAACAGGAAATATAAGTGTAACCTTCATTTCATGTATTTACGAGCAAAACTGACTGCCCTTCGAGCATTTTGATTTATAAAATTGAAAATTCAATCAATAAATTGAAATTTTAGATATTGAAAGGGGATTGGAACAATATAATTATCGGACGACCCTAGTTTTGTTCTTACTAGATAATAAAAATGAGAAATAATTGAAAAAGTAATCAATATGAGATCATTTGGGAACAACATTAATTATACGGAGAATTACTTGCTGTCACGAACTTTTAAAACAGCTTTATTCACAATTATTAAAATGAAATTCAAAAACACGACTTACTTAGAAAGTCACTAGCTTCCGCATTTGACTTATGTTAGATTACAGTTCTTTTATATATATCACAAAACGAAAATTAGTGTATCGGGTAGACCCAATGTGCATATATTCACACCGTACCATCAAAAGTCTTAAGATTTGCTTAGCATAAGTTTGAAGGTATAAAGCTTGATAAGTTTGAAAGTATAAAACCAGCGAGTCAGCTGAGCTTCGCTGAGCATATGTTTGAAGGTTTAAAGCTTAACGAACATTATTTAAAAGTTTTTTAAAAAAAATTTTCATCCAAAGTTGAATTTTATAAAAATCACAGAGAACTTTTGTTTTGAAAAATTCGTAAGAAAGGAAAGTTTTTTGCTTTTTCTGAAGCAACGGCTGTTCCTACCTAGCCCAAAAACAATACAGCTCTTCTATAGAGCAGCATGGATCAAATGTAGAAAACCAGAAGTCTTTATATTGCATTTCAAAACATATCTAGGTATTATAAATGATACAGAATGCTAATATAGATATAAAATTGATATTTTTTTTGAAAATAGCCTGCTATGATCAAAACCAAAAATGCTTTCAATTGCATTTCAAAACATATCTAGGTATTATAAATTATAAAAAATGCTAATATAGATATAAAATCGATATTTTTTTGAAAATAGTCTACCATGATCAAAACCAAAAGTGCTTTAAATTGCATTTGAAAACATATCTAGGTATTATAAATTATAAAAAATGCTAATATAGATATAAAATCGATATTTTTTTGAAAAAAGCCTATTATGATCAAAACCAAAAGTGCTTTAAATTGCATTTCAAAACATATCTAGGTATTATAAATGATTAAGAATGCTAATATAGATATAAAATCGATATTTTTTTGAAAAAAGCCTATTATGATCAAAACCAAAAGTGCTTTAAATTGCATTTCAAAACATATCTAGGTATTATAAATTATAAAAAATGCTAATATAGATATAAAATCGATATTTTTTTGAAAATAGCCTACTGTGATCAAAACCAAAAGTGCTTTAAATTGCATTTCAAAATATATCTAGGTATTATAAATGATAAAGAATGCTAATATAGATATAAAATCGATATTTTTTTGAAAATAGCCTCCTATGATCAAAACCAAAAGTGCTTTAAATTGCATTTTAAAACATATCTAGGTATTATAAATGATAAAGAATGCTAATATAGATATAAAATTGATATTTTTTTTGAAAATAGCCTACTGTGATCAAAACCAAAAGTGCTTTAAATTGCATTTCAAAATATATCTAGGTATTATAAATGATAAAGAATGCTAATATAGATATAAAATCGATATTTTTTTGAAAATAGCCTCCTATGATCAAAACCAAAAGTGCTTTAAATTGCATTTTAAAACATATCTAGGTATTATAAATGATACAGAATGCTAATATAGATATAAAATCGATATTTTTTTGAAAATAGATTACTATGATATAAAATCGATATTTTTTTGAAAATTGCCTACTATGATCCTCTATGATCAAAACTAAAAGTGCTTTAAATTGCGTTTCAAAACATATCTAGGTATTAGGGGTTTCAGAATTCCCGTTCCCGTAAGATTTCGGGAATCAGGAACGGGAACGGGAATGATGTCCGGGAACGGGAATATTTTCGGGAATCAACAAAAAAAAGTTAAAAGCTACACTTACACCATGTATTATATTTAGGTTTTTAAATCAAATTTAAATTCTAATTGATTTGATTGTCAAATTGATTCTTTTGACAATAATTTCCGTTTGAAATTCAATTCTTTTTGGTTTTAGAACAATTCTTAAAGTACGATTTCAACTGGTCTAGCAATCTACTGCGAAAAATTACTTTAATCCAATGTCGATTAAGTTTATTATTTTATAGACATCATACATTTAAAAAATATTTTTAAATACTTTTTCTCTTCGTTTTTCATAAATATGTGTTTTTAAAATGTATTTTAAAAAACATCAAATTTGAGTTTAATATTTCAACTCTTAAATTCCTTAACGTATGTTTTCAATATTATAATTTTTTTCTTTAAATTGTAGTTTTTTTCATGGAAAATACAAAATTAAAAAAAACTAATTTGAATTGTCGGTTTTTTTTTGTATGAAAACGGGAATTTCGGGAATATTCCCGACAGATTTTCGGGAAACGGGAATAGGAACGGGATTATAAATTATAAAAAATGCTAATATAGATATAAAATCGATATTTTTTTGAAAATTGCCTACTATGATCAAAACCAAAAGTGTTTTATATTGCATTTCAAAACATATCTAGGTATTATAAATGATAAAGAATGCTAATATAGATATAAAATCGATATTTTTTTGAAAATAGCCTACTGTGATCGAAACCAAAAATGCTTAAAATTGTATTTAATTATATCTAGGTATTACAAATGATAAAAAATGCTAATTTACTCTCAAATCCGGTTTAAAATTAATCAAGATTTACATTAATATTTTTTAAACCCACTCAAAACCCAATAAAATGAAATTCTTTTAATGGTCGATTATTCTCCTTTTAATTACCTTTAATTTAAGATATCACACGGAAAAAATGGATTTGAAAATAAAAAGATATTACTGATTTAATTTTTAATCCATTGGATTTATTTAAAATCCACCAGGTTAAACACTATTTTCACTTTATCTCGAGAACTAAGACGATTCATACAAAGCGCCATTATTTTCGCCCTACTAGACGACAAGGGCTAAATTTTGACATATAAATCATTACTTTTGGATAATACGGTGGACCTGTAGGTTGGGTGACAAAATTTGAACGACATAAAGAAACACTTTCCGTGTTCCACGCGGAAGCTAATAAATAATCTTCAATAAACAACACATTACACAAAGTATTGTGATCTTAGTATCTATGCAGTTTACACCTATTTAGATCTTAGTTTCATTTGTGTCTGATTGTTTTGGAATCACTCCAATTATTCTTCTCTGTTTCAGCCTCTTTGGAACTAAATATCCACCTTTTAACTTTCCTTCTTGGAATTTCGCATTCTTCATAATATCTCGCTTCTTATTTTTCAAGATTTTTGATATATCTTCGTTTGACTTTAATTCTTTAGTGATTTTTAAACATCTTGAATCTTTCTTAATGTATTTAATTATCCATTTTTGTAAGTTTGGTGCTGTCTTGTTTACTTGAATGGTAGGTTTTGGAGCAACCATTAGTCTCCTTAACTGTAAAAGCATAAAATGATTTTTTACAATTTCAGCGATAAACTCGAAAGATGCCACAGAAATTCCAACAAGGAAAACAATAAGTGGAAACGCCAAATCTTCAAACTTAATAAAAGTTCTTCCTAAGTCATTTCTATAATTGACAGCATTACTGAATCCTCCCGATAACCGATAAGTCTCCATTGTCCAATAGCTACGGATACCAGATTCTAAAGATAATGCAGCTAATCTTGAAAACTCGTCTGAGAATATGAATCCATTTCGGATTGTAAAACGTCGATAGGATTGAGTTATTTTTATAGTATCAAACTGTCGTCGATTATTAAGAAAGTTTTTGGACGATTTTACGAAATTTTCAGCAAATCCACATGTAACCATATAGACCAAGTTCTCATCAAAATCATTAGGCAGGTTGAGTGATACTGAGCCTTCTGGATCAAAAATATTCATAATCAAATCTTTGCGAATTTGAGGAAATTTCGAAGAAGATGTTTCATCATAATAATATGAGTAGAACTTGGTATCGCTGTTGTTTAATTCTTCAATATCACTTGCTGATCTAACAGAAGGATCTCTCATCATAAATGACAACACAGAGCCTTCGTATATGTTGTGCAGGAAGAATGACGCAAATATGAATGAAAACAGCAACAACTTTTCCTTAAGATTCATTCGATTCAAGCCATCAACTCCACTAAATAATGCCAATTTTGCAATTGCAAACATCATTGCTAAAGTTGATAATCGATGCTCTGAATGTATTGAGATGATCTTCCAGCAGATTAATACCAATATTGCAGAAGCTATTGCTAGAACAACAGTTGGTTGATCTATTCCGACGGTGAAATTATCATATGAGCTAACCTGAATGATTCTTGGTGCTAATAAGCATACGCCATCAATTTCATTAAGCCATACACTTTCTAGATTTTTACTTTCAATGTTATACTGCGCACATAAACAAATATCAACTGATGTGGATAAATATGAAAGAAGCATAGAAACTGTTGGATTTTTATTTCCAGTATGTACATTTGTGTAAGATGTGTTGAGTTGCTTAACAAACTCATCAATTAAATATCCATCGACTCCTTTAATTTTGAAATTTTCAATGAATGACGTAGGAAATGAATCGTAAGTAAGAATCTTAAATGATGGTGTAATAGCTACATTTATTGTGTCTCTGATAGTCACGAATTTTTCACTAACACTTTGACTGTCGACCTTTGCAAGTGCTATTTGATTTCGCATCACATAAGATGTGTAATAAATATCAAATATCCCAAAGTCCATTTCTAGTGCTATGTATACATTTAAATATTTATTTAAATTCATTTGAACCCAAAACGATCTCAATATTTTATTCCAATTATACCAAGCTCTGATGATAATAATGAATCTTGTTTGCTTGCTAGTAAAAATAACTTTAAATCCATTTTCAACTAGATGTTTGTAATCCAATGGATCTGGTGTTGTCAAAATTAGGACAAAATCTGCTCTTAAATCTCTCCTCAATTTAGGAAATGACATGCTGGAGATTACGATGTTTTCTTTTGAAAATTTACTAAAACTTGACTGAAAACCTTCGTAAAGTTGATTTTGATGTGGTTGATTTAGAAGAAATATTGCAACTTCTAATTTCCCATTGTCTTTCATGATTTTACTTTTTATCATTGATGTTGCTAGGTAATTACTTAACCATTCCCATTCTCTAATGCTATCCTTAATAGACATCTTTGAAATTGCTTGTTCAGGATTAAGTAAAGCGATTGAAAGGTAAGCAAAGCAATTTACAGCTAGTATTACTGTGACTTTCATTATTTAATCCTTTTGAAATGGATATCTGCATGGAACTAAAGTATTTTATTGATTTTCAATAAAAATAGAGAATGCAATCAAAGCTTATCAATCAAATTGAAATTCAATTGAACCTTAATAGAAAGATTTTAATTTGATAAAATGCAAGTATGTCGTAGTGGATTTGGTGCTGCTTAATTTCAATGTTGATGCATCTATCATTGATTCATAGTTTATTAATCAGCTTGCTAAGATGTAGTTGCTGTGACAACTGGATACACCTTTTCAATACAATTATTTTTTCCATGCTTGAATTTCTTAGCTACCCAATATCCGCCTTTGAGTCTTTCTTCCTTTTGAAACTTTATTTGTTTTATTGTCTCACGTTTAATTCCAATTATGATCTGCTCAACTTCTTTCCTTGATACAATTCCATCAGATGTTCTTGATGCTTTTGAACTTTTTCTTACAAACTTTTCTTTCCATTTTCTCAGATTTATTTTGCTCTTCAAAGTATGACTTAACTGAGGTGTGACTTTAAAGTTTTTGAAATGACTGGATTTGCAATAAAACTTTGCAATTTCAAGAACAAACATCAAGAGTGCAAGCAAACTTCCAACAATAATGACGACTATAGGAAGTAGCATGTCTTGAAATGTTATGAAATCCTTTCGCTGATTATCTGTTGTATTATGGACATAACTGTTTGTATCGGATGATTCAAAAAATACTTTTTTTGTCCAATAACTTCGTATTCCTGATTCTAGAGTCGCTGATACGAATTTTGAGAATTCATCGAAAAAAAGAAATCCATTCTTTAATGTATAACTTTGATAATCTTGTCTTAATAATCTTATGTCAAACAATCTGTGATTGTTGCGATAATTTCTTGATGATTTTTCAAAGTTTTCAGCGTATCTACATGTGACCAAGTATACCAGATTCTAGTCAAAATTATTTTGTAATTCAAGTGAATATGAAGAGCTGAAATCAATCGTGTTTAGAATCAAATCCTTCCTCATAATAGGCATTTTCGAAAGAAAAGCTGTATGATCATCATAGAATGAATAAAACTTTGTGTTACTGTTGTTAAGTTCCTCTAAATCTTTTGCTGATCTAACTGTCGGTTCTGCCATCATGAATGATAAGATTGAACTCTCATACAAATTTGAAATGAAGAAAGATCCAAAAATGAACGAGAAAATCAGCAACTTTTCCTTGACATTCAATCGAATCAAATTAGGTGCACCAGTATAGAATGACAGCTGAAGAACTGCAAGAAACATTTCGGATGTTGTTAATCGATGATCTGAATGCCTTGATATCATTTTCCAGCAAATGACTAAAGAAATTGCAGACGCAATTGACATGATTAATGTGATCTGGTCCATTGGAAGTGACAAGTTTTCATATGAGCTAACATAGATGTTACGTGGCACAAGCAAACATAGACCATTAGTTTCAAAAAGTGTAACACTTTCAACAGAGTTATCATATATTGAAAAATCAGCACAAAGACATATATCGACGTTGTTTTGCATTTTTGAGATAAGAACATTAATATCAGGTTTTGCTGTCCATGAATGCACAATAACATAAGAAGTGTTGAGCCATTTTACGAATTCATCAATAAAATATCCATCTATGCCGTAGACTTTATTATTCTTAATGAATGTGGTTGGATATGAGGCATACGTTATTATTTTAATGTATGGCTTTTCACTGTAAACTTGTGAATCTTTTATGATCATCTGTTTGTCACTTTTGATTTCGCTTAGAGTAACATGCAGCTTATTTGTAATTTCTGTACGATAAACGCTGAAAATACTATCACTGATTTCGAAAACAATGTAAATAATGCGATATCCATTTAAACCCATTTCTCTCCAGATAGAACTAATTATTTGATTTCTGACAGACCACAATCTCACAATAACGATGAATCGTGTATGTTTGTTGACATACATAATACGAAGAAAGTTTTTCACAAAATTAGAGTAATTAATATACTCATTTGTGGTTAATATTATCACAAAATCTGCAGTCCAATATTGTCGCAAATTAGGAAAAGAATTTGAAGTTGTAATGAACTTGTCATCTGAATGCTTCGATATGGTTGATATCAATCCTTCATATATTCTAATCCAAGGTGGTAAATTTAGCAATAGAACTGCTAATTCTAATTTGCCATTTTCTTTCATGTTTTGACTTTTGTTCATGATTATTACCAAATATTCAGCTACACTTCCCCATTCAATTTTGGTATCTACAACTCGAAATTTTGTAGATATCTCAGGAATAACGTTTGAGTTTCCAGATACTAGAAAGAGAAAATAATTTAAGACACAAAAAGAAGCTATTTTCTTCATTCTTGCTTGCAAAAGATTTTGACTTGTACTTAGAAATGTAGAACAGTAAATAATACTTAAATTGTAACCAGAATATTCTACAAATTGATCGATCTTAAATGACGTCCAGCTAGGAAAGAGAAGGGCTGAGGTATATCAAAAGCTCTGTAAAATGATCTTTATTCATGAACATCATTTAGGATCGACATGATAAAAATTAATTATTTTTTAATTGTCAACTTTTTACAGAATTTTAATATTGTTAAAGTACTGAAAATATTTGTCATTACAATTCTATTGTACAAACAAAATGTTATGTTGCGTTGTTTTATGAAATTATCTTTGATGAAAAAATGCATTGCATGCAGTAAGTAAAGCACCGATGAATAATAACCACTGATTTCAATAATGACGTGCTCAAACATTGCAATTATAACAAAACTCAAACATCATCAAAACAGAAAGAGGGTTAAGAATGAATGTTCGAGCTTTCTTATTACTTCTGGTTTATCAAATCGTGTTGATAGATATCTATAGCTGTTGAAACTGGAGTCACCATTATTATTGGAAATTTTGTCTTATGCTTGAGCTTTCTAGATGTCCAATATCCACATTTTAAGTCTTCCACAGGAAACTTTGCTTGTTTATTTGAAGTTCGCTTAAAATTTATTAAAAACTGAACGATTTCACTCTTGGACTTAATATCATCTTTCTTCTTTAATCTCTCACTAATGTTTTTTAGAAACTTTATTCTCCATTTTCTTAAATTTGACTTCTGCTTAAAGATTTGATGCATTTGAGGTACTGGTGATATTTTGTTCATACTTTTGCATTTACCATGATACTTTAGATTTTCCAAAATAAAAACAAAAAGTGCTAGTAAACTTCCAACAATAATCACAATCATAGGAAGGAGCATGTCTTGAAATTCTATGAAATGCTTCTCTACTTTTGCTGCTTCATTATTTATATACTTGTGCCTGTCAGAGAATGCCATTTTGGTCCAGTAAATTCGGATTCCTGCCTCTAGAGTTGTTGAAACGAATTTTGAAAATTCATCGTAGAATGGAAATCCATTTCTTAATGTATAGCTTTGATAATCGTGTCTCAGTAATCTCACATCGAACAGCTGATGATTATTGTGATAGTTTTTCGAGGATTTTTGAAAGTTTTCAGCGTATCTACATGTGACCAAATATACCAAATTCTCGTCAAAATTATCCGGCAATTCAAGTGAATAAGAAGATTTGAAATCAATCTGATTCATAATCAAGTCTCTTTTTAAAGTCGGCATTTTTGAGAGAAAAGCTGTGCTATCATCATAAAATGAGAAAAACTTTGTGTTACTGTTGTTAAGTTCCTCTAAATCTTTTGCTGATCTAACTGTCGGTTCTGCCATCATGAATGACAAGATTGAACTCTCATACAAATTTGACATAAAGAAAGATCCAAAAATGAACGAGAAAATCAGCAACTTTTCCTTGACATTCAATCGAATCAAATTAGGTGCACCAGTATAGAATGACAGCTGAAGTACTGAAAGGAACATTTCGGATGTTGTTAATCGATGTTCTGAATGCCTTGATATCAATTTCCAACAGATGACTAAAGATATTGCAGATATTACTGACAGGAATAATGTTAACCGATCCATTGGAAGTGACAAGTTCTCATATGAGCTAACATAGATGTTACGTGGCACAAGCAAACATAGACCATTAGTTTCAAAAAGTGTAACACTTTCAACAGATGTATCATATATTGAAAAATCAGCACACAGACATATATCGACGTTGTTTTGCATTTTTGAAATAAGAATACTTATTTCTGGCTTTGATTTCCATGAATCCACAATATTGTAAGTAGTATTAATCCATTTTGAAAACTCATTTATAAAATATCCATCTATACCATAAATTTTATTATTTTGTACAAATGTGGTTGGATAGGAGTCATAAGTGATAACTGTAAAGATTGGTATTTCACTGTAGATTTGTGAATCTTTAGTAACAATCTGCTTATTATTTTTATCAAATTGATTAATCTGACTGAGCGTTATGTTGTTCTTGTTTTTGCCTTCAGTTCTATAAATGCTGAATGTGCCATCACTCGTTTCGAGCACAATATACACATTTAAGTAACCGTGTGAGCTCATCTGTGTCCAAAAAGATGTAATTATTTGAAATCTAATAATTGACGATCTAACGATAATGATGAATCGCGTATGTTTGCTGATGAACATAATACGAAGAATATTTTTTACAAAATTCAAATAATTTAACTTTCTAGGTGTTGTCAATATTATCACAAAATCGGCTTTTAACTTTTGTCGTAATTTCGGAAATGAAAAAGAAGTGATGAGAATCTTATCCGTTGAAACATTAGTCAGTGCTGCTTGAAAACCTTCATATACTCTGTTCCAAGTTGGATGATTAAGTAGAAATATTGTTACATGTAATTTGCCATTCTCTTCCATTCTTTGACTTTTAGCTAATATTCTCCCTATAAATCCAGTTATATTTGACCATTCACTTTCGGTATTATCGACCGACAATTTTAAGAATCCATTTTGAATAACATCTGATTCGACACCAGTCAAATATATAAAATAAAATGCAGTACGAATATACGCATCAAACTTCATTTTTGCCAACAGAGTGTTATGAAGTTTGTCTATCAACTAATGTTTCACATTTGTTATTCAAAGGATAAAATATATTATATATATAATCATGATTATCTTTTATGAGCATAGTACAATGTTAAATCCAATTAATTACATGACAATTATAAATAGTCAGCAATCGAATCAACAATTAATTAAAATTATAGTACAATTGTTACAAATGACATTAAGGAAAAGGGCATAATCCTTCTTGCTGTAAGCACCATTCAGGCTGAAGCATTTCAGCAGCAATTCCTCCAATTTTAACCAATCTTTCTCGATTAATCAATAATCTTGGTTCAGCCATTTTCCAGTGCGTTTGTGGATCTATAAAGCAATAAAATTTATATGAGAACTTAGGTTGCTATCACATCTTCTCAAAAAACTTACCTGACCACATTCTCTCAGCAAAAGCAGACGTTCTTGGCCATACTCTTAAATCAATAATAGTTGAGTCAATTGACTCACTCCAGATTGCAACCTCGGCACCATAAACTTGATTTACATATTCACCAGCAATTTCATCAATTTTGTTTTGGTAAAGCGTTTGCCATGTATTGTAAGGAGAGCACCAATTTAGACCATCATTAACCCATCCGCCAACACCACAATCTAGATATAAAGCATCGGAATTGGATAAGATAAGTTTATATCCATTTTCCAATAATGCTTTAATTTCTGTATCATTTTTGTACAGCCAAACTTGTACGATATAACGATCTTTGTCTAGGTGCTTTGTTAAATAGGGCTCTTGAGTTAGAGAACTCGTCCAAAGGATAATTGGAACTGTATTTCCAAAAGATTTTTCTAATCTCTGAACAGAATTCTCTAAATAGTATTCCCAAAGTTCCATAAATCCTTCTTTAGTATGTTCCATTCCTCTGGTAGTCATCCATTCCTTAATGGTTGTGCTTGTGTTCCAGCAATCAATACCAACTTCATCAGCTCCAATATGAAACATTGGTGGATTAAATGCATCAACAAATTCCTTATAAATGTTCTCAAGGACATCATATAATTCATCTTTTGTTGGATCAAAATGTCCACGCCATTGAGCTTCCATTGATGGATCTTTGTAGCATATAACTAATCCTGTATTTTGCCATCCTTCGCCTACATGTGCTGGTGTATCAAATTCTGGAATGACTCTTACACCTCGGGATTTACCAAACTCAACAACTTCTTTAATGTCTTCGTGTGAATAGACTCTATCTGGTGAATAAGCTCCAAGTTTTGTTATTTCAGGATAAGATTTCAAGACAAACGGAAAACTTTGACTGTCTGTTATGTGCCAATGGAATGTATTGAGTTTCACCATAGCTAATCCTTCAATAGTTCTTTTAATTGCTGATATTGGATAAAAATTCCTTGAAGTATCGAACGATATTCCACGATGGGGAAATTTAGGTCCATCTGATATTTTAACTGGACACAGTATGACTAATTCATTCTCAAATTCATCGTAGACTATCAGCTGTGAAAGAGTTTCTAGGGCATGCCTTACTCCATAGAAATTTTTAGCAACAATATTCACAAAAACTGCTCCAATCGTTCTGACAGTCTCCAAAGTGTAACTCTCATCAGTATCATAAGTAAAACTCATATCATTAGTGTCCGCATGCATTACAACTAAGAGCGGTTCTCCTATCATAGGACTTTCAGAGTCTTTAGCCTTTTTCATCTGCATATCCTGAAATCTACTCCAAGCTATGTCAAAATATATTGATGAATTTAACACTTGAGCAACACGAGGTGTGAATCGGTTCATATCAATAGGTAAATATCTTCTACTATTACTAACTCGACCACTTGGTACAGGCCACAGAGTTCCTATATCTTCGCCACATGTTAGTCTGCAAACATTAAAGCTTGTTGTCTCGTTCATGTTGTCAAGAGTATTTTCGATTCGTTTGCATAGAAAATCTTCACAAATGTAGCCCCATGTTGGACTGAAAAGGAAGTTAAGTTGATTACTGATAAGCTGATAATTAGTTAAAAATTCTATAATGTATTTTGAAAACTTAAACTAAGCCTATAATTATTATTGCTGATAATCAAATTGTAAATCAATAGCAAAGTCATTGACGCGTGCACAAACTGTTTTGTTATCTTTATGATTACTCCTGAAGATATCTCACGGTGAGGATAGATACTGTAGTGTTTTAGTAGAGATAGTGTAAGGTAGAACTCCTTTTCGATTTTCTAATTGTCACTAAACTTGGAAAAACTGGTCTAAAATGTTTACTTACCCATCATATTCCTTAATATTTTCATCATCACAATTATCTCCATTATCTCGAACGAGGAAGAAGACAACAACTCCAATTATCATAGCAGCAATGACTACTGCCACTCCAACAATTATACAACATCTTTGACTTACTGCCATACTAAATGCTGAAAATATACTGAAAAATCTCAAAAGAAAAAGGTTTTCAAATCTCTTTATTGAATTGTTATAAAATTTAGCAATATTTGATAAGATAAGGTTATTTTTATAGAGACATTAAAAGCTACGCGTGTGATATATTGTACCATGATTGATGATTAGATTAATGACAATTATAGCTGACATAATCCTTCATTATGGACACACCATTCAGGTTGTAAAACTTCAGAAGCCAGACCGCCACTTGACTTTAGATACATTTGATGCATTAAAAACCTTGGCTCAGCATTTCTCCAGTGCTCTTTTGGATCTAATTGATATTTTATCGTCAATAACAAGATTAATTGACTGAAAGCTATTGATACTCACTAGTCCACAATCTTTCAGCTAATGCTGACGCTCTTGGCCATATTTTAGAGTCTAGATTGTGTTCATCGATTGATTCAGACCAAATTGTAGCAGATCCTCCCAGAATTTGATCAATTCGTTCACCTCCCATGCCATTCAAATCATTATCATAAACTTTTTGCCATTCATTATATGGTGAGCACCAAATAAGTCCATCATAAGCCCATGAACCAAAACCACAATCAAGATAAAATGCATCGTAATTGGAAATAATAACTTTATATCCACTATTGAGAACTCTTTGAATTTTAGGGTCATCTCCAGTTGTCCAAATTTGAATCACATATCTGTCTTTGTCAAGAAATTTGCTTGCGAATGGTTCTTCTGTCAATTCACTAGTCCACAACATGATTGGAAGTTTACTTCCACCAACTTTATCCATTCTTTTCAATGCATTTGTTTGATAATATCCCCAAAGTTCAAGAAATCCATCATGATCAAGCGTCAAGTTTTTATTTAACATCCAATCTTGAAGAGGTTTACTTGTGTTCCAGCAACTGAAGAAAATTTCATCACCGCCCATATGAAACACAGGAGGAGTGAATGATTCCAACATTTCCCGATAAATGTCTTCAAGGACATCATAAAGTTCGTCTTTTATTGGATTCATATGTCCACATGGTGGTTGCCTAAATTGTTTAAGCAAGTAAGTTTGTGTATCTATTTGTCAATCTATGTTATGAAAGGTTTAATAGGTTTAATATTTTACTTACCAACAATAATCCAAATACGGCATGTAGTTTACGCATGTAGTAAGATCCAATTTCTTTTGCCAGCCTTCGCCAATATGAGCAGGTGCATCAAGTTCAGGAATAACACGAACTCCTCGAGACTTAGCGAACTTTACAACATCTTTAATGTCGTCAGCAGTGTAAATTTTACTTTTTGAGTAAGCGCCGTACTTAGTAAAATCAGGATGTGACTTAACTTCCATTGGAAATGCTTGTGAGTCAGTAATATGCCAGTGGAATGAATTTAACTTCGCCATTGCTAATCCGTCGATTGTTTTCTTAATGATGTTGACAGGATAGAAATTTCTTGAAGTGTCCATGGAGATTCCTCGATGTTTAAACTTCGGTTCGTCTTGTATGTTTGCAGCCGCTAAGACTACTAATTTTGTATTTAGCTCATCATACACAATTACTTGAGACAAAGTTTCCAAAGCATGTCTAGCACCAAAGAAATTCTTAGAACTAATCATAACTTCGATTGCATTAGTATTTGAAATAATTGTTATGCTGTAACCTTCATAAACGTCATAGTTAAGCTCCATGTCATCATTTTCTGCAGTTATCGCAATATTCAAATCTAACCCACCAAGAGTGTAGTTTTTGACTTTATTCTTCTGCATAGCAATGAATCTTTCCTTTGCCACTTCAAAAAATTCATTATTCTTGAAACTTTCTGTAGTGAATTTTATGTAATTTGGATTGACGCCTGTGACTGATTTCAAGAATGTCACATTTCTTGTTGGTTTTGGCCATAAGGTTCCAATATCATCATAGCAATAAAGCCGACAAACTCTTAGATCTAAGATAGTTTCTTTGTTTGCTGGTGTGATTTGTATTTTTTCACATCTACTGTTTATGCACTCGTAACCCCAAGCATGACTAGAAAGAAGAACTAAAATTTTCAAGCAGGTCTTTTCAATATAAACTTCAAAATTGAAATTTGATCAATTTAAGGTTATTAATTTAAATCTTCGAGTTGCTTTAAGGATTTATTCACTAATTGTAACTTTAATCCTTCTATTTAAGCTTCAAATACTCACCTATCATCAATCGCACTAGCAAAATACACTTGCAATACTAAAACAGCAAATGAAAATAATAATTTTGTTGTTAACATCTCGAAATCAATTTACAAACTGAAAGAGAACTAATCATTTCTCAATTTATCATGAATTGATAGCTTGTTTCTACAATAATCATCAGTGTCGACTCTTGATAGTAACTGATAAAGAAATGTCTTAGTGTTAGGGGCCGTTCACTTATTACGTTCGCCTTTTTGGGGGGGAGGGGGGGTTTGAAAAACTGTAACAAAATGTAACATAGGGGGGGTCTCAAGAAGTATGTAACGTTCTAACTGTCATCTGTCTTTTAAAAAAAAGTTCACGAAAAAAATTTGTTTACAAATTCACACCAAAACATTTTTATTTAAATTTTCCACCTTATTAATGATAAAATAAATTATGAACGTTCAGGGGGGGGGGGGGGGGTGAAAAAAGTCGTTTTTTGCGTAACGTAATAAGTTAACGGTCCCTTAACAAAAAAATTGGCGGGAAACTTGTTATGAAGTTTATTTTATGCTCCTTTAAAAGAGTCTAGAGTTGATTTTGGCATAGGATTTTAGACTCTAAAACAAAACATTAGGGATAGTATCCATCTTGAATATTAACTTCCTTCGAACCAGTAGTTTTTATTGTTTACAGTCAACATAACCTACAATTGCACTTGAGAATGCTTCAATTGGTCTTGCTTTGTCGGTATTTGCAGGTGAAACAAGTAAGTCATTTGCTAATTTAGTAACTTAGTAATGTTAACTGCCATTTAATGCGTTCAAAATCAGGAAGTAGATGAGGTTTGTCACGAAAATGTTTTTAAAAGAGGTCGGCTGTTTGTAAGCTTTTTAAAGACAATTTTAACTTGCATGCGACTTCAACCTTCATATTTCACCGTTTAAGGAACAAAACATACCATTAAATTTTGTTACTTGTCGTGAAATTTTGTCATGAAAGTGCAATTCCTTAAAAAAATTGGGTCTGCTCGTGGAAATTATATAATTTAACCCTCAAACTAAAATAAAAATGGAACTATACTTTTTTTTAAGTGTATGTATGTTTAAAATCTCGTGACATTGCCATAAAAATTTATTTCTTACTCCTGTATATAAATGCAAGGATAATCCAGTGAAATGATTTCAGTTTTTACGTAGCTATAGCTCTGAACTTGCTATGGAACCTTTGAAATTGCTCGTGAAAATTGCCATTTTAGTTACTTTCGTTGTAGCTGTGTTTGGAGCTTCTCGAAAGCAACCAAAAATCATTGTTATTGGTGCTGGACTAAGTGGCATGGCAGCAGCAACAAAATTGATGGACAATGGATTCAATAATGTCATTATTGTGGAAGCTGAAGATCGAATTGGTGGACGTGTCCATAGTGTAAATTTTAGTAATGGTGTTATAGACTTGGGAGCTCAATGGGTTCATGGTGTCAAAAATAATACTATTTATGAAATCAATAATGGAACCTACAAATTTGGTGTAACCGGATTTGATGATAAGCTGCCACTGTTCCTTCAATCTGATGCTATTCCTGTTAATCAATACAAATGTGAAAATTTCGCTTTTTTGGCACTTGAAAATTTATTTTCAAATTATAAGGAAATGTCCAAATTTAATGGCAGTATTGGTGAATTTCTAATTATGAAGTTCAAAAACAGCAGCTACTACAATATACCCGAAGATCAAGAACTTGGTGATCAAATGATTGATTTTTATCACAAAGAAATGAACATTTGGAATGGATCAGAAACTTGGTTTGACTTATCAGCACAGCTGCATTGTGTGTCTGGCTTCAACGAAGGATTACAATATTTAACGTGGAAACGTGATGGATATATTGAATTCTTCAAATATCTTACAGTATGAAAATTAATTTCTTTAACAATAGATTCAATTTAGTTTAAGTCACGAGAGAATTTCAAGAATTTCAGAATTTAAGCGCAGCAGGTGACTTGTAGTTTGTAGGTATGGCTAAAGAGTCATATCTCAAGCAAATAGACTAAAGCGTAAGATTAATCGCTAAACAAGGATAGGATTCTTGAGTATGACCAAAAGATATTTTTGGGATTTTCAGGAAAAATATGTATGTGACTTTATGTATGATATTATTCTATCCAAATGCTTTGTCTTTGTTAGACCAAAAGTCGAGAATGATCAATTCTGACTTGAGACAATGCAGACGTAGACTTGAAATTCCTTAGACACAAACGAATGATAACGGCAATAGCATCAAAATAAAATCTTTCCATTCCAGAAACAAATCCCAACGGATGGAACCAATAAAACTCTCGACGTGTTCAGCAAAGTCATCCTAAACCAAGAAGTCACCAACATTGCATGGAACAATTCTGATTCAAACTATGCAGTTGTGACAGTAAAAGATCAAACAAAGTATTATGCTGATCATGTGATTGTGACGATTCCATTAGGCGTGTTGAAAGCTCGTCATGAAAGTTTATTTACTCCAACTCTTCCAGATAAACTTAAGTACGCAATTGACGGCATGGGTTTTGGAAATATTGGAAAGATATTTCTCGAGTATGACATGCCATTTTGGCCTAACGATACTGAGTGGGTTGGATATGGATTCTTATGGACGAAAAATGATGTCGCTGCTATTAATGGAACTGTTAAGGAATGGTTAGTTTATTGATGCAGTCTTAGCTTAATCCATAGAATTTTACTTTTCAGGCTTTTGGATCTACAAATGTTTACAAAATTGGATAAATTTCCGAATGTGATTGAAGCACTGCTAGCTGGACCTCACATGAGAACTTTTGAAACTTTAAGCTCAGAAGTAATAATAAGCGACTGCGTTTGGCTCTTTCAGAAGTTCTTAGGTGTTGTTCTACCTCGTCCAAAAGCAGTGATTAAAACCACTTGGCTGACGAGCAAAAATTTCCTTGGATCTTATTCCTATTATTCAATGAAAACTGCTGAATATAATGTGTCAACAGATGATTTAGCAGAAACACTGTTCGATACAACAAATAAGCCGCGAGTACTATTCGCTGGCGAACATACAGATCATTTGTATTCATCAAATGCACATGGAGCTGTTAACAGCGGCTTTAGAGCAGCGAATGAAATTATCGATTATTATTCGTGATTCAATTAAATTATTTACTGTTAATTAAATTATATTAGATGTTGTATTATGCTTTGTAAGTTGACATGATAAGTTCTCCTTAAAAACTGACCTTTAAATGCTGATTCAGAACTTTCACTTTAATTAACCATTAAAATCGTCCCAATTCGTGATTTTAGTTGCATGTGCTTTAAGCTATAAACCGACCATAATTAATATTTTTTACAGTCTTGATAATATTTTGGAAAACAATCAAATTAAAGAATTCAAGATATTGTTTTTTATTTAAGGGAATTTATTTCAGTTGCATACCATGTGTATAGGTAGCAATTACTCAAATACTATAGGCCATTTGTGTCATTATTTAATTCTTAATTTTTCCAAAATATTTCTTTTCTATGCGCCCACAGAACTGTGTAAGTTGAGTATACTTATTGATCGTTTCTTTTAGCAGTGAAACACTGGTTGGCAGTTCCATTGTAAAAATGCAGAAGAAATGTCCAAAAACCATTGCATCTAATTCTGTTGGGTTTTCTCCAAAGAAATAATCTTTATCGCCCAATTTAAGAACCAATGTCGAGCAAAGTTTGTCGACTTTATCAACAACTTCCTCAAATGTTAAGTTCTTATAGTCATAAAAGCTTAGTTGTTTCAACACTGCTGATCGTTTACGGAAGTTTTGGATATAATTTAATGGAAATGGATAAACTGAGCCATTTCTCTTTTTTGTAATTTCATTCAAGACCGTGTTATCGCACCAAGTTATATATAACTCAGCATTCGTTAGAATCATGTCAACAAGGCTCAAGTATGTCACTAAATCGTCCTTATCATCAGCATTAAAGTTTTCTGTAAGCGACATTTTCTTATGCTCAAAAAGATTAATAATTGGGTCAAACTCAGCTGCTAGAAATGCTCCAATCTGAACTACTGGTAATTTTGTTCGCTTGCCTGGTGCCATAAATTCAGCATTCGTGCATGACTTTACCACAAAGTCTCTGCCAAGCATCTAAATTGAGAGATTTAAATGGCTTTTACTTATAATGGACAAAGTTGCACATTAAACAAATTGAATAAAGTTTCATTCAGCCTTGATTCAGGGGATTCTTTCCATATTCATACTTCCAACGCTGGATCTCAGTTATCACTCATAATTTAACTATTTGACTAGATTTCTTACCTTTAAATAAGTCTTTACAGCCAAACAGCTTGCATTTTCTGCCAATAGTATCTGAACTTCGTCGTACGGCTGATAAATGATGATTTTCTCGCCCATTTCTACTCTTTCTAAAGAATAAAAAATAAAACTTCAAAAATTGTCCATAACTCTTGAGAATCAGAATGACTTACCTAGCTCATTTATGTTGAGATACAACTGGCTTATTGTGCTGTTCTTAGACATTATGAAATAAGCTATAATTAAGCCTTATTCAATAAAATTTGGATTTTTAATTCGAAGAAAAATTAACAATTAAAAACGTAAACATTGGACGTGATTTAAATATCAAAATATCGTTGCATTTAATTTTGATATCGAAAAGTTCAAATCATGAATTTGACAAAGTCTTCTTATTATTGCAGTATTAAATTTTATGAAACAAACAATTTTACTTCTTTAAAGCCGACAAAAACAGTTTAAAAGCATGATTTCAATGAATCACGTGTTGAAAAAAATAACGAACAATTTTTGAATTTTAAAATTGTAAACAAAAATTGCCGATGAAATATTAAGAAACCAAAACCCATCAATTTATCTATTAAAACAATGGAGGAACTGCTATGTTATGTGAAAAAATTGAATATCAATAGTGAACTGTTGACCAGCTGTAACATTAATCTGTTGACAATCAATGATATTAAAGTTATCAAAGATTTACAAGATGACTGGAAGTTGCAGATTAAAATATCAATCGAATACGACATTCTGTATGACAAACTGTACATTGGACCTTATTATGCAGTACCTGATGACTATAAGAAAATGTTTCTTGTGCTGAGTTTCTGTAAGGTAGAATTTTCATACATTAAATGTATCCTGGATCTTTTTAATACAGCTGGATCTCATATTAGTCAATAGGAATCCTCAAATCAGACAAGAAGGAAGTTCAGGAATATGTAAAAGCTATAAAAATTCTCGATACAGCTTTAATGATTGGTTCTGGATTGGAAGAATGTGATTTATTGACTGATTTTACACAGAAGGTTCATGACTATATTGGTAAATGAATTAATAGCTTGCTATGTCCTGCATGCCTTTAAAAATAAAGCTCATAAAATTTTTTGCATCACGTTTTAATTTTCATTTGACAGTTAAAAGCCACAAAGTTGACCTTGTTGACCGAATTCCTGAAGAGCAGCTTCAAACATCTCAAAATGACTGTGATATTGATTCAATCAGCCAGCCATCAATCGAGCATTTCATGACAAAATATTTCAATTTTCATCAGCCGGTAAAAATTTTGAATTCAATCCATCATTGGCCTGCATTGTATAAATGGAAAGACATGAATTATTTCATGACACTAGCTGGATATCGAACAGTTCCAATAGAATTAGGAAGGACATACGATGACGATGAATGGGGACAAAATCTATATAAATTCGGAGATTTTATTAAACAATACATGAACAACAAAGATCACGAACAAAAAGCATATTTAGCTCAGCATGACTTATTTGATCAGATTCCAGAATTATCAAAAGACTTTACCATACCTGACTACTGTGCTATAGGGAATCAAGATCCAGTTATTATAAAATCATGGATTGGTCCAAAAAACACAATCAGCACAATGCATACTGATGATAAGCACAACTTTTTATGTCAAGTTGTAGGCGAAAAATTGATAATTTTGGCATCACCAAAAGATTCTGAAAACTTATATCCATATGAAGGACTACTTAATAACACAACACAAGTTGATGTTGAGAATTTAGATTTTGAAAAGTTCCCAAACGTTAAGAATGTAAAATTCCAAAAGATAATCTTAAAAGCAGGTGAAACGCTTTACATCCCTAAATTACATTGGCATTATGTGAGGTCATTGACTCCAAGTATTTCGATAAGCTTTTGGTTCAATTGTGATGAAGACTGAGAATTAAGCTGCTGCTAGAACTCTAAGAAAGAGTTGCTGGATAAGTATTTATTTTTGATTTTAAAAAACCAAATTTATGCTTCTTATGGATTCGATTGTCGATTGACCAAAACTAGCAGCACTAAGTCTTCAAAAGTTTAAGTCATTATAGCTTTTAATGCGTCAAAACAAACATAAATTTAAAAGAAAGGACCTTTATCTCAAAATCTTATCACTAATTAAGCATACTAGACTTTCGAGTCTACCTTTTCACTCTACATTCAAAACTTTTTTTTATCATTCTGTAATAAATTTCTTTACGAAGCAGTTTTCATTGTCTGACATTTGTGATATCAATACATGTACATTGAAGCTTATGAGGAAAAAAAAATGTATAAAAGCTTAAACTTTAAAGCATTTTCGTCAGTTTCAGGTTTGCGCATTAGTAGCGATGTTGTTACTTTATTTTTTTATCGTTCTGTTTGTAAATAATTCTTACGCAGCTAAACCGAAAAATGTGATTATTATTGTGGCAGACGATCTAGGCTTCAATGACGTCAGTTATCGAGGAAGTACGGAAATACCTACATATAATATTGATGCTTTAGCTTACAATGGAATTATTTTGAACAAGTATGGATGGCAGAGATTTCTAATCCACAAAAGAAATCTTGATCTGAGCTTGACAAACCTTGTTTTATTAAGCACAGATCTAGTTCTTTGATGATTAGTGAATCATATGGAATAAAATTAATAAGACGTTGGGTTGATGAAACATTTGTGAATATGACAAGTTTACAAACATTTGATTAACAGACTAATTATTCAGAAAATGTTGGAAGACAATGATCTTAAACATGCTCACACAAAGAAAATGTCTTAACTTAAATAGGTTTAGATCTTACTATAACTGATCTCTTAAACTCCTGTCGTGATGGAATCTTATTAAACGCTTCAACTCCTTGATAAGAAACTGCATAAATCGAGACTGATTGTCTTCCAAAGTAAAATCAACCCGAATCATCTTTTATTGAACACTTGAATTTTTTTAATGATCTAGACTCTTTTTTGACGAATTAATGTTAAGTGCTGTAGATAAAAATGATTGTCTCAACTCATTAAGTTATGACAATATCAAGGCTCTATAAAAAAAAAAAGGCAAGAAAACAGCTGTTCGCTGCCAAAAAAGCTTGTTAATGTCAATGCAAGAAAAGTTTGATCTAGCAAATCATGTTTAGTAGACATTTTACAATCATTCGGAAATTAGGTTCCTTTACTGGTTTTCTTAACAGTGGTACATTTTGCAATTCATCGTGATCACGATCTTTGACAATAACTTCCAAATCCAGCTGCAATATGGCACAGAGATCTAATCTACAAAATGTAACAAATAATCACATTGTGTCTGTTACTCAAAATCAGTTCATTTACAGTTATAGAACACCACCATTATGTACGCCAAGTAGAAGTTCACTTATGACTGGCAAGTACCCTCATCATTTAGGAATGCAACATTTTGTTATCCCAAGCGATGAACCTTGGGGGCTTTCACCTTCAGAGAAGATCATGCCTCAATATTTTAAAGATGCCGGTTATGTGACGAGAATGGTTGGGAAATGGCACTTAGGTTGGTAATCTTATCTTCTACAATTCTAAGGTTCTTTCTGCTAAGAACAATGATTAATCTTAAACAGGATTCTTTGAAGAACAATACACCCCGAACAATCGTGGATATGATTCATTCTTTGGATACTTGGGACCTTATATCGACTACTGGGACTATACACTTAATATGTTTGATAGAAACTTTTCTCGAGGCTATGATATGAGAGAAAATCAAACTATAAACAGGAACATCCCACCAAATAAGTACGCAACAGAATTGTTTACAGAAGAAGCAGTAAAAGTGATAACAACTCATGATAAAAAGAAACCGCTATTTTTAGTCGTAAATCATTTGGCACCTCACGCTGGAAACGAAGATGTTCCCATGCAAGCGAAACAGGAAGACATCGACAAGTTCAGCTATATTGAAGATATTAAACGAAGGACACTTGCAGGTAAGTAGAAAAGTTTTGGGGTCGGACTATTCTTTAAGCTTGGGCCTAGGATATCCTAAGTATGCCTCTCTGTATAGCAGTATAGATTACTTGGGATTAGGATATTCTAATGGTAGAGTTACTCTAGCGAATAGTCCTTTCAGAAACTTAACAAATCTTACTGTTTCTTAAAAAACCCAATTTCAAGAACCCATTAATGCAATATCAATTATTAACCTTTGATCATTACCACTCAGAACAATCAAGTTGTTTTGTATCTTAAGATTCTAATTGGCACTAAAACTCATAAACTTCTCCAAACATTTGCGTTAATTAAAATATTTTCACATTTTTCTACACCAATCAACATAAACTTTAACTACATCTTTATAGCCATGATATATCAACTAGATAAGAGTGTTGGAGAGATTGTTAAAGCCTTGAAAGATAACAATCATCTAGATGATTCTATTCTAATATTTTATTCTGATAATGGAGGACCCACAACTGGAATTCATTCTACAGCTGCCTCAAATTATCCATTAAGAGGACAAAAGCAGTCTGGATGGGAAGGTGCAATCAGAACAAATGCAATCGTTTATGCTCCATCATTACCAAAAGCTGTTGTTAGGAATAACTTGTTCTATATTGCAGACTGGCTGCCAACCTTAAAAACAATCGCTGGAGCCAACTTTAAGATTAATACTAAGATTGATGGAATCGACCAAACCAAAATGTTGTATAATAATCGAGAATTAAGGAATGAATTGGTGACTATTGACGATGTTTTTGGTTTTGGATCATACATTTTTAATGGATTGAAATTAGTTAATGGATCAAGCTCAAATGGTCAATTTGATAGCTGGCTAGGGTCCAATAATAATACGAACGCTGTGGATGATAAGGCTTACATGGAGAATCTTTTATTGTCTCCTGTTGCCAAATCTATTAAACCACCTATAACGTTAAGGAATATCGATAGAATGAGAAGTTCTGCCAAAATATGCTGTACAAAAGAGAAAAATAAACAGTCTTGTGACTTGCTTAAAGGTCCTTGCCTTTATAACTTGAATGATGATCCATGTGAAGAGAATAATATCGCAAATAGGAACAAAATTCTGTTCAGTTTCATGCTGTTGAAATACAAAAATAGTCTTGCCGATTTAGTTCCAACTAGACGAAAGCAATCTGATCCAAAATGTGATCCAGTTCACTTCAATTATACTTGGAATGCATGGCAGCAAAATTCTTAGTGGTTTCAAAAAAAATGTTGCGTTTTATTTAATTAAATATGAGCAGTAAATTTACTATGTAAATAAAGGATTACAATTCAGTATGAATGTTTTGTTGAATGAATTCTGTTGGATGAATAAAGATTCCTTCAACTGATTGCCATTCACTTCCAGTTCCTCCCGAATTAAGTCCAACAATTTCCATCTGACCAGAAATTGGACGTCCAAAGGATCTTCCTGATGCACCTAAGAATTTTCTTGTATCAACATGTCTTAATTGAACTTTCAAGTCACGTAGCCATTCTTCTCCGTAGCATATAACTTCCCAGTGATCGCCAGTATCTCCTTCACCAGTTTCATCACCATAAGCTGACACTTCTTGATTTCCAGATAATGGTGAATTGAAGAAATGGGAATGTAAGTTCTTTTTTGTTTCAAGATGCTGCAGTCTTATCGTATCTCCACATTTAACGACTGTACCACGATCACAGACGATGTTTGTTTTGCCTTTAATCACCCAATGTGAGTTAACGTCATCGGAATTTTCAACACCGGTTACACTCTGTAAATAATATTAAATCACATGTGATAATCAGACACTAGGAATTTGCATAATGTCGTATAATTTATGGATTTTGATTGTCTTAATTAATAATACTGGTTCTTGGTAATTAAAGAATTTATATGCAGACAATGATATCAACTGTTTGATGAATTTACTAATGTAATTAATTATGTGTAAAGGAAATCACTTACAGTTGACTTAATTAATGTAATTGAGTTCAAAGATGTTACAGTCTTTTTTTGGTATCCTAGAAGCTATGCATAATAACGTCTTTTTTAAATTTAAAAATTTAATTTAATATTCAAACATTTAAAATACGTTGACTGGAAGTGTAAGAAAATCTGGCAACCTCGCAAAAATAAAATTATAAACAAGCCGAAAAAAATATTTGAAAATGATCAGAAATAGCCTTCGTGAGCGATATGAAAAGAAAAGAAAGGAACGAAAGGATATACTAGGCACTGGTGGACTGCAAGAAGTTGCAGAAGAGAAGAAATCTGCGAATTTGAGTGAAGGTAAGAAAATTTATGTCGTGTAATATTTTAATTTGACTCAAAAATTCTTTAATCCTAGACACAGAAACTGAGAAATGTCTAATTAACATCCTAGCTGATAAGCATTTAATATTGCCAACCAATTCGATACAAATAATGCAGCAAATGAGTACACAACTTGCACGAACAATGGATCAATCAAAAATTTATCATTTACTTCAGAAAATAGCTCAACAGCATATAATTGAGTTAAAGAATGTGTCGATTAAAAATGAAGCCGGATATGAGATAATTCAAATTAATAGTGATAAACTGTATCATCATTACTATGAAATCATCATTGAGAAGAAGAGTGACGATGAAAATTGGATAGATTCTATGAATATGGATGAAAAGGAACCGCCCGAAAAGAAGCACAGGGAAAATTCCAACATTACAGACACGTCTGATATCATGTCATTATTATCTCTACCGTCTGCAAAAGAAAAACAACATAAACAAGTTGGGGAAGAAATTTTGGAACTTTTAAGTAAGCCAACAGCAAAGGAACTACAATTGACAGAGAAATTTAGATCTCAAGGAGGCACACAAGTAATGGAATTTTGTCCACATGGCACGAGAGTTGAATGTTTAAAGGCACAACAATTGGCTGAGGAGAATAACATAACGGAACCAGATGATAAGATTGATGGTGAAATTGAAAATAAGCCAATAAGTCTCAAATGTAACAAGCTTCACTTTAAGAAAATTATTCAGGCACATACAGACGTCGTTCTTGGTGATTGTAGTTTCCTTAATACATGCTTTCACATGGAAACATGTAAATATGTCCATTATCAAGTCGATAATGATCAAGCATCATTAAAACCATTAAAAAGTGATCAACTTGAAAATCCCGAAAGCAGCAAAACGACAGTCCAGAAGAGGAATATTGAGACAAGTGGATTATCGTTAATTCCACCACAATGGATACAATGTGATCTTCGGTATTTAGACATGTCATGTCTAGGAAAGTTTGCAGTTATTATGGCAGATCCACCTTGGGATATTCATATGGAACTGCCATACGGAACGTTATCTGACGATGAAATGAGACAATTAGGTGTTCCAGCATTACAAGATGATGGATTAATATTTTTATGGGTGACTGGACGTGCCATGGAACTTGGTCGAGAATGTCTGAAATTATGGGGATACGAGCGTGTTGATGAGCTGATTTGGGTCAAAACGAATCAATTACAAAGAATTATCAGAACAGGACGAACAGGACATTGGTTAAATCATGGAAAAGAACACTGTCTCGTTGGTATGAAAGGAAATCCAACAAACATGAATCGTGGACTAGATTGTGATGTTATTGTAGCAGAAGTTCGAGCAACGTCTCACAAACCAGATGAAATTTATGGAATGATTGAAAGATTAAGTCCAGGAACGAGAAAAATTGAACTATTTGGACGACAGCATAATATTCAGCCTAATTGGTTGACAATTGGAAATCAACTTGATGGCATTAAATTGGTTGATCCAGAGTTAATTAATAGCTTTCAAAAACGATATCCCGATGGGAACTGCATGATTGGCAAGAAATAATTTAATTTGTAATGTGATTTTAACATTCTGAATAAAAGTTGATGCTTATTTAAGTAATTTTGGGCATATTTTTTGTGACTTTTAGTTCCAGTTATTGGAAAGTGACTAGAATAATTGCAAGTTGATTGAAAGAAATTGAAAAAGTTCCAAAAATTGACTGGAATACTTCCAGTTCTTACTGGTATATTCCAACAAAAATATATACCAAGAACTCAGCTTCTTATCAAGATCCAGTACATATACACAAAACAGTGATAATCTTACCTGCTGTCCACTTCCAGTTCCATATTTTACATCATGACTATGCAATCGGGTTCTATAGTCTACATTAAGTAATTTTACGACACTTCCACACGTCACAGATTGAGCCTTAGAACTGGCTGAAAGTAAAAGTGTTTAATTAATAAATCATGATGTGTTCTTTTATCTCTCAGTGGTTCTGGCTTTTAGATCCACATAAGCATGAATTGAAATGAGGATAATTATGACAGTCATGCAGTGTGTCAGTGATTTAACTGACTCAGGTCAATAACCAGTACTATAAAATGATGCCAAAAAGTCATAATTAGTTATAATACATTGTAAATCAGGACTTTTCAATTTTAGCCAATCAGAGAGCACCACAAAAATAAATTTAAACTTACCTTCAATTAAACTAATATTGGCTAGAGCTAATAACAGTAGCTGAATGTTCGCTAGTGCCCTCATCTCTATTAAATTTTGTTAAATATCTTTGGATGAATTAAATTAATGAATTTTTTAAATAAAGTTAAATTCACCGATCTGAAGTAGATTTTGTTCGAATGGAAGTATGTGGAGTTTTATGAAGCTTGTGCATGAAGAGCATTTTTAAAAGGATAAATATTGTTTTGATTCTTTGGCTGTTCAAGGTGTTTATTTTGGATTGAATTGATCAAAATATTTCTTGCAAATTTAACTGATTTTTTGGATTCAAAAGTTGTATTGGAAGGTTTCCAGTTCTATTGGAATGAATGTAAACAAACTCGAAATCCGAAATTGAAAATATCAAAAAATGCCTTCATATCAGCAAAGACTTGATATAAAAGATAAGCAGACTAATGATAAATATATAAAGAATCTACCTATATGCTTTAGCACTTAATTAACATCTTAGATACCTTTAAAATCCAGTAAATGAAGTTGCGGTTGAAAAAATTGAATTTCCAGTTTGATCCAATGTCAATCACGATAATCAATAAAATAAAAAAATGGAAATTTTACTTTAATCAAAAAAATACTTAAATCACCATATCATTGCAAATAAATCAACCATAGAAGTTGAATTAATCAAAGTATCTTAAAGTCAAATAATTATCAAGTTAATGTGAAAATTGAACAAAGTGACAGTCATTTTTACGTGGAAAGAATGTTAAAAGCGCTTCTCGAAATTTCGAAAAACAGTCAGTCTTTAAATTTCCTTTAACTCGTTGTAAACTGAAAAATTTTCTTCAGACTTTTCCTTGAGCGAACAGAAATTTTCCATCAGTGATAAAAGCACAGTTATTGACTAAAGGTTGAAAGAAAATTGACGCAGCGCGAGTGAATGGTGGATTTTTTTGTGTAAAATCATTGATTAATTCATTGAAGTTATAAAAAGATATCGAAAAAGATAAAATAATATTGTGAAAAAAATCATTTAAAAAGGATAAAGGAAGAATTTTATAAAGTTGATGAAAAATGTAAGTAGACAATTGCTTTAATGACTTAAATATTAATGATGGTGATTGATTGTATGTTATGATGTTTGCACAATTAAAATTTTTATGAAACATAATTGTATATAGTCATAGACAAGAGCTCAAAATCCTATATTCATTGCTTACTATCTTGTGTATTATCCAAAAAAATATATATTTCTGTGTATATAAAAGAGAGAAAAAAAATGAAATTTGCGTAGATAAAGAAGAATTACACAAAGAAGAGATGATAAAATTTAATAATATGCATTCAATGGCAAGTGTTACCCAGCTGGTTTTGAAATGAATCTACTCGTTTGTCTCTCGACTCTGTTTGATATTTTTTCGGTGTATTAATAATTAACAGAGTGCATCAAAAAATAATAGAAGTAACTTTTAATCCAAAAAATCTACCTTTTTCTCATAATCGGATTATGTTGTGTCGCAGGGTTGGATATCGGGTGTCTGTGACTAAGCTGTTTTCAATCTTAAGCTTGTTATCCAAATACTTAATTAAATTATATCTAGGATAGGGTCGAAATCGAACTCAAGGTGCTATCACAGATTGATCATTATGCGAGTGATCTTAGGCTGTTGTTTCAATTGCAATTCCGAAACAGTTTCTGACGACCATAATTTTAGAACTACCAATTCCACAAATTCCATCTAAGACTCTGATGTCGCGTTCCCAACCCTCCTTTTATGTACTTTTCGGATCTTCTTACTGTCATTGATTAAGCTCTAGTTCGTACCAAATAGTGAGATATTTACATGCTTTATCTGGTTTGTTGGTTGGTCGTGGGAGGTAATGAGAATGTAAATAAATACAAAAGTGCCTTTGGACCGTGAAAATAAAAAAAAAGAAAAAGAAAAGAGAAAATTGTACAACAGAATAGGAATATTCTCGTGCTGTTAGGACAAAGAGAACCTTGACAGAAATCGTTTACATAAAAAGCTCTCCCGTTATGATGAAGGAAAAAATATATAAAATATAAAATCAGAGTTCCGGGCGTATTATTTTTTGCCTCATAAAGAATTTTTCATCTCATTTTCAAAGAAATTTTTACTCTTGGTCGATTAAAGGACTTTCCTTTTTACTTCTTTAATTAAAAACGTTTCATTTGAAGAGAGTTCGTAATTGTTCGTCGTTATTCTTGATAAAGCATAAACAGTGCTGCAAGGGAATCGGAGACATACACACAGTATATATTGTGACAGGGAGAAGAAGAAAAGAAAGGAAGAAAAACTTTTTCATCCATCATAAAAAAAAGGTCGCTTGACAAAATGTAAATACAGCTACAGCCACTTTGCCTTCATTCCATGACTGCTGCCTTGCATAATCCCGAGTCATGTATGAGTTTATTGAATATGTTTTTTTGCGAATAGATTTATATGCTCAAGGATTTAAGTTTAAACGGTTGATTTGAGATCCTTGAATTGTTGCTTACTCAAACTTGTTGTTTTGACATTGGATCGTATTGAGATTTAATTGTCAGTTTATTCGTGTGACATACAGTCTGTAATTATAAGTTTTTGTGGCTCTATTCATCTAAACATAACGAAATTTTTGTCTATTTTGTTTTCTAACCACGACTTTAGCAATAAAGAAGAAATATTTATCAAAAGGGCCGTTAATCTATGGTGAAACTGGGTAGGGCATATAGTGGTATCTTGACTTTCAAGTTGGTTCCTTAGAAAATCTTTAATAGCATTCTAGTCCTTATATCATGTTCTAGCTGCATGAAACTCGGACCTTTAAGAATTCCTACACTTAATTTTAAGCTAGTCCACAGAAAGTCATCCAAAAACCACCATTCTATATCTAAACCAACAACCTTCAACTCGGGCAAAAAAACACTTCACAGAACATACCACAAAATCGGGAACGATATTTACATTATTTCATTTTATTCTTCCCAAGCAATAAACATAAAAAAAGCTCTTCATTCCCTGCCTGTAAAATGATACGAGCGATCCTAAAATGTTTATGGTTTAATGTCTGAGCATACAATATGAAAATTACATTTGTATGAAAATAATTATTACTTTTTTTTTTGGTTTAGGGGGCTATTTAGAAACCTAGTTAATAGGAATGCTAGGTCGGTAATGGTCGTTAAATCAAATCCCTGTCTGTTTCTCATATTAGTAAACAGAGCATGAGGAAATACTGAAAAAATCATCTCCAGCATATTACATAATCAAAAAATATTTTCTCTTCCCATTTTGTTGTTGTTTTTCATTTTTTTCCCTCGTTCCTTTTCGTTGCTATGATAAAATAAAATATAAAGTTCCTTCTCTCCTATATTCTGCGTCATAACAAACCAAACCGAATAAAAAAAATGAAAAAGAAAACTTTTGTCATATCCATATATTTTCTTTTATAGAACAGAACTTTTTTTTTCCTATTCTTCCTTTTCAAAACAGCCATCGTCGCGAGCTGCCTGAGCTTTTTTTGCTTTTCCTCATCGCCTGCACTCTCTTTCGACTCATTTTGAAGGGTGAGAAAAGAAGAATGGAATGGAAAAAAAGAGAAAAATCGATAAAAAGTAATACCCATTTCGTCTTCTTGCAATTTTTGTAAATAATTTAAGCTTTTATATGCTGCTATCGTAATCTTCACTTGCCACCATATATACCCTTATAATATTATAAACGCCAACACTAAAGTCGGTATGAAAGCTGTTTAAAAACGAGAAATAAGAGAGGATGAATCGCGAAATAATTTCTTTTATTCTCTTTTTTCTTTATTTTCATTTCTGCCGGTTGTATGTCAACCTGCAGTGTTGGTAACCTTGACATATGTAGCAGGGTATATTCAATGATTTTTAAGGCTGCTCATTTGGCTATTAGACTCAACTTACAATAATTTTAAAGCCTTTGACATATTTTAACGAGCTGAAGCTATACAAAATTTTGTTTACAATCTTATAGGGATCTAGATATCATCGCATCTAGTCCTTTATCTCAACATTTTGACCTATTCAATCTGTTTCTTTATCACCATCACTTCTAAATTAGACTTTGTCTTGCTCTGACAAGCATCTCTTGCAACAACACTGCACATATGGGAAACTCATATATTTTATGTGATTTAATACACAAATTTTCAGTTGAAGCGTAAGAAAGCTCCATATATGTGATGTGTACGAACATTGGAGCATTCCAAATACTTCGAATAGTATGAAATGGTAGTGTCTTTTAAGCTAGCAGATATTTTCTCGGATCTAGTTTGTTGAATGTTAAGTTAGTTTTATTAAAGCGTGCCATAAATCCTTTTATCGCAGTTTTTGAAGTACAAAGGAATTCTTTTCTAACAGAAACAAAACTTTGAGTTATTGGAGAGTTTGTGATTGGAGATATTATGATGAGCAAGTGCGATAATTTATAGCAATGTTCCGTTCACTTCTTTAACCGAGGCTTCTATACTAGCTTATATTATTGGTGAAAAAAAAACTTTGTTTATACTCTTCAAAATGCAAAAAAAAAACGGAATAAATTTATTAAAATGTTGGCAGTATTGTAGAAAGTTTTATGTGAAACGATGGTTGTATGTAATGAATGGAATATATCCTATGAAGCACCATTTTATCTGCTTTTTCGTCATCCAAAATACGCGAGTAGAGAAACGAAATATGTTTTATTTGATTTCTGTTGCTTAGATGTTTTCATTTTCTTTCGTAAAGTTTTTTTCTTGGCTTTTTGAGTGATTAGAGGGATGTTTTCGAGAGCAGATAAGAAATGTTTTGCTGGTTTACTTTTAAATGACAAGATAATCAAATTAATTTTGGTATGGATTCTATTTGTGATGAGTTGTTTGATAGGAAGCATTTAATATAAAGATTCTTTTGGAAAATGAAACTGCTCCAAAGTCAATTATGTTTTTAACAATTTCATAGAAATTGGAATATCGAAGCTTATCTTTGACTAAATTTGGAATGTTCTTGGGTGCTCACTTGCCAGCGTTAGAATTTTAAAGGAATTATCATTTAAATGTCTTTTTACAGTCAATTATAAAATTTTCAAAGCTTCAAGTGAAAAATCCGTGAAAAAATGACGTCAAATTCAT